ACCGCGGTGACCGAAGCGTGTCGCATCGCGTGTGCGCTGGTGCGCAGACCCAGGCTGGTTCCTGGGACACCCGTTCTAAAGGTTCTGGATGACGTGAGTTTTCGGTGTCGCCAACATTGGCACTGAGGTTTTCACCGACTTTTCCTCTTTTTGGGGGGGGGTCTGGAAGAAATGAATGACCCGTTTTCACGAGTGTGCACACCCTCGCCGGGCACTGGCCAGCCAAGGCCAGAGCGCCAAACCTCCAAGAGCACGGCTTCTCCGTTCCCGCTGGCAAAGGAAACAAAAGAACAAAATGACAGATAATTCAGCAGATCTGAACTTCTGTTCGGGGAAAAAAAAAGCACGTTTATTTAAATGATGCGTCTCCCGGGAGCCGTTTACAGGGGCCCCGCTCCGACCGCGGCGTTCAGGTGCCTTGGGAAGCCGGCGTCCTGTGAAACCCGCGCTGAGCTCAAGCGTGTGTTTTTCTTGTTCCCCGCGCCTCCTCTCCTCGGGTACTGGCGAGCGTGAATGCACTCGGCATGTCTCAGCCTGTGTGTCACGCGCGCTGCGTGACGGTGTCACAGAGTGAGAAGTTGCGAGTGGAGTGTTTGTTCAGAGACGCAGCGGCGCGGGGTGCGCGCGGTCCAGCGCGCGGATCATGCCCGCAGCCTCCCGACCGTCCCAGGCTGTTCTAGAGAAAACTTTTTTTAACAACGCTGAACAAAACGATTTCTTTTTTAAAATCGAAGTGAAAGTATATTCCAAGTACAGCACTACTTCTGACTTCAAATTTTAAATGTTGGGATTAACATTTAGCTGTAAGACTGTAAAAATAAATGTCCAACATCTCGCAGTTAAACGGGACTTTGCAAATATTCAACTTCTTTGCTGTCTTAGAAATAGGTATTTCTTGGGACAATCGTAAGCTATTAAGTAAAACCAAATTAAGTTGGAGGTTTCATCAACAAATTTTTTTCTCGACTTACCTAATGAGCTTAATTCAAACATATGGGAAATTGTTTTGCAGAAATTTCTTAGGTACTGAGTTTTTATTGACTGGGGGGGAAAAAAGTTCTTGTCAGACTTTAAAGAAAAAGTCAAGTTGTTTTTTAGGACCGGTTGTTTGGATTGTAAATATATCCTGAGCGATTCAGGGGAAATGTCATTTAGAACCACAGCAAACATAAGATGTAATGATTATAATAAGACAATTAAAGCTACAACGACATGTTTACTGCTGATAACTTTACCAGAACCACACCTCTTAATATTATGTTGGTTAAAATTTAGAGGAATTTCATGACATCATAACTGCCTAAAGTTCTGCCATACCAACAGCAGCCTTTGCTAGTCCCTCAAGGGTCAAGTTTCTCTCATTACCCAGCTGTTCTTTGATAGCATTAATATTTTAAGGAGTGATTTGTTGGCGCCTACCTCCCATTAATTACATTCCCCGTGCCCAGTGGGATTCTTTTCCTTCGGACACCAGCTATAATTAATTCCCCCACTCAAAGCTCCTGTCTACTTGACTTATTTTATTTAGAGGGCATTTTATCCGAATTTAACTGGATGGCATTTACTCATGGAAAGTCACAAAACCCCCAAATTACTTGATTCCTCATAGGTCTGATGTGTGTGAACATTAAAACAACTGTGTACCAGGCTGTCATATCCAAGTTCTGGCCCTAAGTGCTTTTAAAACCATTATGACAATCTGAGGGGCTTGTGAAGGGGGCGGGGAAGCAGGCTGTTTGGTTTCTTCTCATAGATGATCTCCACAAAATTGACAAATTTTAACTTCAAACATGATGCTCTGAGAATGCTCTTTGCCAGCCGTTAGAGATTTTACCTCTTTTTAGATGTATTAAACATTCAAAGTTTCTGTTATTCTGTTACTATTATAATAATACGGAAGATAGAAAAGGTTCTCATAGTCCCCCCCGAAAGACTCTAGGGGCAGGACATGTATAAAGAAAATAAAATCTACAATATCTGGGGGAATTCTGAAGAGATTTTAGACATTCTTTATTGTTTCTTATCTCAGTAACACAAATTCCATATTTTAGTGAAGGACACATAATCATAAGAGATCGTTTCCCCAGCCTATACTCTCTTGTGGCCCTGCTTTCAGGAAATTCTGTAGGAAATGAGTTAAATGATATGATGTCTGGGATTTGCTTTAATAAACACCAGCAAGAAGGGAGAGAGGGAGAAAGAGAACGAGAGGGAGGGAGAAGGAAGAGAGGAAGGAAAGAAGAAGAAAGACCAGGGGATGGCGCCTAGGAGTTTAAGACCAGCCTGGGCAACGTAGCAAGAACACGTTTCAACTAAAAAAAGTAAAAATATTAGCCAGTCGTGATGGCACACGTCTCTAGTCCCAGCTACTCAGGAGGCTAAAGTGGAAGGATCACTTGAGCCCACGAGGTCAAGGTTGCAGTGAGCTGTGTTCCGTGCCACTGCATTCCAGTTAGGGCGACAGAGTAAGCACTGCTCCCCCCTCAGGAAAAAAAAAAAAAACAACTAGAGGGACAACAGAGAAGATGGCTAGATGAAACTGAAATGCAACTGGCAACATGTCGGTAACTGTAGCTGGCCGAAGGGAACTTGAAAACTAGAAATGCAGTTCTCTCATTTTATGTATGAATATACATTACAGAGTAAAAATTTTTTTGATAAGAATCGATAGCAGAAGAAAACAAGCCCTAGACTATATTTTTAAACCTTGTCCTGTTCACTGATCTCTTTTATATTCTTTGGATCGGTGTGAATGATCGGAAAAAAAGCGAAAACAGAGAAGTGAAGAAAAACTGGGCCACGTGGAAGCATCAGAAGGGGGTTGGGAAGGAGCATAGACTCAGGAAAGAGGGAGACGGCCAAAGGAACACACACAAAAAAACAAAAATGAAGGACAATGCACTTTGGCTCTGGAAGTCCACTCTGGCTTATTTGCATTGGGCCCAGAAACAAGATAGAAAGGTTTCTCAAACCTTCCTCTAGTCCCTTCCTGGAGGGATTACTTTATCACTAATTTTCCTTTCATTACTTTGTCCAAGACTTCATACAATTCTCTTCCTTGGAGCCCTGGCTAGAAATCACTTTTCCAAGCCCCTGTCAATCTGAGTTCCTGAAAAGGTGTTTTTGTTTGTTTGTTTGTTTATCTCAAATGTGCTGTGGCACCCATCACCCCTAGAGAACAGCTGAGTGCCCAGAAGTGCTCACCCAGACCCAGGCAACCCGGCCCCCTGCCAGGCCCCTTCTGCTATCAGGTAGCCTCAGCCTCTTATCAAGAGGGGGTTAGACTAGGGCCCTTTGAACAGCAGCTCTCTAAAGTGATGAAATGCCTGGGCATCTTGTTAGAATGCACACCTTTACTCACAGGATCTGCAGCGGGCTCTGGGGTAGTGTATTTCTAATGCATTCCCGAGTGATGTAGAGGTGTCTGGGTTGAGGACCCTACTGCAGTCCCCTCTGGCCTTCCTCTGCCCTTGTCCCCAGTCACAGGGAAAGGAGTAGCTAGAGCCACAGGGCTGTGCCCACCCAAAGCCCATTTCCTTCCTCCCTGTGCCACCCTGTGGCAATGCAGATCTCAGCACTACCTATTCAAACAGGACAAAAACTGCTTTCAGGTACTGTAGAGACCTCTTTGTGGTTGTAAGATTCCCTAGGAGGAGACACCTAGAAACTTGTACACAGTTGGGCATAGTGGCTCATGCCTGTAATCCTAGCACTTTGGGAGGTAGAGGCAAGAGGATTGCCCGAGCCCAGGGGTTCGAGACCAGCCTGGGCAACTTGGCAAGACCTCATCTCTTCAGTAAATCAAAAAAGTAGCCAGATGTGGTGGTACGCACCTATAGTTACTGCTACTTGGAAGTATCATCGAACCCACTTGAGGAGTAAGGATCACCTGAGCCCAGTAGTTCAAGGCTGCAGTGGCTGTGAGCATGCCACTGCACTCCAACCTGGATGGCAGAGTGAGACTCCTACTCAAAAAAGAAAGAAAGAAAGAAACTTGTACAGGTAGGCTGGGGTGTCCAGACACGTGTATGGGAGACCTCTCAAGACATAAGATGGAATCAAAGATGTGAAGAGAGAGGGTGTGAGGGGAACAGATTCAGGTTGGTGGCTTTCATGACATTCCCCACCCTGGCTCAAGTTGAGCAGACCTGTTGCCTAGTACATCATGGAGGCTCTGTATGTAGTCACAGCGGGAATAAATGAGTGACTGAGTAAATGACAGAACAAGTGTTTTTCCTTATAATTCCAGTATTTAACTATACACATCTGTCTCCCATTAGTCTGACCTCCTTTTTCATGACTGTATACTGAGACGGTGTTTCACACCTGTAATCCCCGCACCTTGGGAGGCTGAGACAAGAAGATTGTTTGAGCTCAGGAGTCCAAGACCAGCCTGGGCAACATAGCAAGACCTCATCTCTACAAGAAATTTAAAAAGTAGCCGGATGTGGTGGTGCACACCTGTAATTCCATCTACTTGGAAGGCTGAGGAGGAAGGATCACCTGAGCCCTGGAGGTCACCATGAGTGGTGATTGTGCCACTGTACTCCAGCCTGGACGACAGAGTGAGACCCTGACTGTAATCCCAGCACTTTGGGAGGCTGAGGCGAGTGGATTGCCTGAGCCCACAGGTTCAAGACTAGCCCGGACAACTTGGCGAGACCTCCTCACTACAAAAAAAAAAAAAAAATTAGCCAGTCGTAGGATATCGCACGCCTGTAGTCCTGGCTACTTGGAAAGCTGAGGCGAAAGAATTGCCAGAGCCCAGCAGGTCATCACTGGGGTGTCAGTGAGCGTGCCTCTGCACCCTAGCCTGGGTGATGCAGTGGGACTCCGTCAATCAATCAATCAAAACTGACTGCAAACAATGCACGACTAGTTGAGAACTTGTTGCAACCCCGTGACATCTGTTTCACAACTCCATAGAACTGCAGTGGAGGAGAGAGCAAGGGTGAATTTCCAGGGCAGCGGGTGAGGCACTCAACTGGTGATTTCATTGTGACTGGAGCTCATCAAGAAGTGTCCTGTATGTCAACACTGCCAAAACAGGGCAGTCATCAACACATCTCTGATGAAGACAGCAGTGACTCTTGTCCAAGAGGTAGAGCTAAGATGCACAGGGAATGGGTCAGCACAGTAGAAAGAACACTGAAATACAGTTTAAAAAAAACACAGGGGACACCAATAAGGGAGAGGAGGAGAGATGGGTGTTCACTATCTGGGGAATGGGCCACCTGAGACTCAATCCCCACCACTACAAAATATGTCCAGATAACAAACAGACAAGTATACCCTCTGATTCTAAAATAAAATTTTTTTAAAATTGAAAGAAAGAAAGAGGGAGAAAGAAAGAGCAAACACTTCAGTTTGAGTCAGACAAAGCTGGTTTGCAGTATGTATCTTACTGATCACATGACCTTGACCAAGCTCATTTCAGCATACTGAACCTCAGCTTCTGTGCCTCTAAAATGGGGTGGGTGGGAGGGAAGAATCCTTATCTTGAAGGATTGTTATAAGGATTCGTAATAAAACATCTAATCTGGCACAGAGTTGGGACTTCATAACTGGTAGGTACTCATGATTTCCCACCACCAGCTGATCTGATATATATCTATCAGAGTAATCATGGCAAGTTTCCTGCTAACCCCAACAAGCCTATTCTCTGATTAATTTGAAGAATCTATTTACAGTTCCTCTTCCTTCACTCCCTTGTTCATTGAATGTGCCCATTCATAAGCACTGGCAATTGGAAGTTGATGATTTCATATTTACAGTTGTTCTCCTGAGATGTGGCCAAAGTCAGGAGAAAAGGAGGATAAAGCTAGGTGTCAGATGGCCACAGGGTTGGGACAGGCCCTGCTGGACCGACCTTATTTCAACCGAATTTCTACAAGGGGGAGCCCCAAGCACAGGTGGGCATTTAATAAGAATCCGATTAGTCTGCGATTCCATATTATGTCAGTAGAGATGTGATTTATGAACATGGGCCCCTGGCATACTTCCAGCATGTGTATAGTAGAATGACATTTTTCATGCAGAAATATAAATTAAATTAATTGGCATCCATATTTAATTGAAACTTCCTTGACAGCCGATGGATTCTCCCCCAACACCACCCCTTTCTCAGCAAGGGGCATTTCCTTCTGAGTGCCTGCAGACTGAAGAGAGGCCAGCCCAAATTCCCTGGACTCCTCAAGGGCGGGCTTTCAGCAGGGCTTAGCTCAGCACGAAAAGTGAACCGACCCTGAAAAAATGGTGAATTGCTTCACCACAGCCGTGTTCTCTTTCAGCAAGGGAAAGGTTTCTCAGAGGAGAAAGAAAACACAGAGGCTTCTTGTCTTGTTTCCGTCGTCTTCCTTCCCTTTTCACCTTTGTCAGCTTTAACAGAATGTTTCAAGAATCTTTAAATCACCCTTAAACTTTGTAAGCTATGCAGAATTCTTTTGAAGGCTGCTATGTAATTTAGGTATCTTTTATTTTTTCTCCTTCTTGAATACTCTGGGTCTGGTTAGCTCTGTGGATGACATAAGAGGTCAATGAGGCAAGGTTCTGCATGCCACTCCTGCAGGTCAACTAAGTTTCCCCTGTGTCAGGAATGCTGAATGCACACTTGACCCTGGCTTATAAACACCTGCTGTGAGTTATTTACTCAAGGGCACCAGCCAAAAAAGTTGGATGTCTGAGACAATCGAATACGCAGCATGGAAAGTGAAGCCAGCATTGTGCACTCCCACAGCACATGTGTCAGGAGTGTTCCCTTCGTAAAGGACAGTACTGGTGCTGTATGCCTCGCATGCCCGCCACCCTGTCCTCGGAACTGTGCTTTGGGGATTCTTTCTGCTTCGTATGCTCCGCCTTCTGATTTTGTTCAACCATTCATTCTGTAATCACCCTCCCTTTGTATTTATTTAATGTACTTTTTTGTAACCAAGGACCAGAAGAAAACTCGCCCTTGGCATCTTGCTTGGTTTCTCCAGTTGAATTGACCTTGAAGTTGCGACCACACTTGAAACTGTCCACAATGCTATTCCAATTCAGCAGGTCAAAAACTGGGCTCCAGAAACTCTTTAGTTAGTATGCCACACCCCTCCTCTTGTCTTCCTAAAAAGGCATAACATGTGACAGAGTCTGACACTGCATTTAGGTTACTTTATTGATAACAGTGATCTACATCCACACATAGAGCCTTTCCATATCTATCATTTGTCTATCTATATATCTATGTATATTTATGTCAATCATCTATCTATAATCTATCATCTATCTACCTATCATCTATCACGTATCTATCATGTATATATTGTCTATCATATATCTCTCATCTACTATGTATTTATCATCTATCACCTATCCATGTATCTATCATCTATCTATAATCTCTTATCTATTGATCTATTTGTCCATCTGTCCTCTATCATCTTTCTATCTATCATCTGTCACCTATCTAGCATGTATCTATTATCTATCATCTATCTCTTATCTATTTATCGCCTACCTATCATCTATTACCTATCATCTATGTATCTATCATCATCTCCCCTTCTATCATCTATCTATCAATCTATCCATCTATCTATCATCTATCTATCCATCTATCATCTGTCATCCATCTATCTGTTATCTATCTGTATTTCCCTTGAATTTTCTCCTGCTCTAACCAGAATTCCTTCCCACCTTATTCTGATAAGAGAACCCACTTTCTCCCATTCCGTGTGGAGCTAGAGAGACCATCAATCAAGGTGCTCCACTCCTGACCAAGGGTCAGACTTGGGATCTTGCTGAAACAAGTAGAATTGCTTATCTCTCTGGACTCGAGGTTGGTCAGGGATGAGCACATGACTCAGGCATGGCCAGTTCTCCCATGAGATTTGTTATGTGGACAGTGAGGTGGGAGAGGGGGACTGCTCTTCCTTTTACACGTGAGCTGTAGGGATGTTTGCTTGGGGCATCAAAGACACAATCTCTGCCTTGTGGACGAGGCCTGAGTGAGAATGAGGCCAACCCAGGGTCAAGAGAAAAAGAAAAAAGGAGGGACTTAAAGTGTTTGACCCAGGAGTGCTTGAAGGTAACACCATCCTGAGCATCCCTGTGACATAAGACCGTACACACCCTTGTAACTCTAGCCCATCTGAATTGGGTTTTGATCATGTATAACTGAAAGCATCCTTACCTTGCTAGGTGTTTGCGTGTGCAAGAGGTAGGTGGAACTCATGTTTGGAATTAAAATAGTTAATGGTGCATGAGGCTCTGAGTGAAGACTATATCCTTGGAGTTCTAAGCCCATCTCTTTATCAGGTCCATTTTGCCCCCCTGGTCTCCCCTTGGGTAGGAAAGGGAAGTAGCTTACCTCACCTTGAGAGGGCAGGGAGGTCTGACTGCTCTACTCTGTCCGGATCCCACCTGCTGCCTGTCACAGGGGTGCTGGTCTGAACTGGTTTCTGGGATGAGTCCTCTAAAGAAGTCTGTGGCTGGCAAGTACTTGGCTTGTTGTCTAGGTTTGGACAGGGTCCATGACCTTCCCTTCCTCACTTGCCCTGCCTTGATTCTCACTAGTGCTGTGAATATTTCTACCTTTCCTGTACCTGCCTGAGGTCCAGCCCGTAATGAGCAGTTGATCCCTGGTCTTTGGCTACAGGGTGAATCATCCTCAATGTGATAACCCAGACAGCCAGCACCATCAGCTTGTCTTCCCTTTTGCCCAACATAGCGTGGGGAACATTTTACATCCCTCCACAACACACACAAACCGATGTTCTAGCTCAATCTCTTTCTCTGCCTGTTCCAGTGTTCTAGTTCAATCTCTTTCCCTACCTGTCCACCCCTCACTGCCATTTTAACTGGTTTCTCCACATTGGAGCAAGACCATACATCATGGCTGTCTCCCCAAGAGTCCCAAATAGAGACATAGGCAAACCCCACTCTGCTTTTGATTTACCCTGAATTTTCTGATGCCTTTGCATCTTACTTGGACTTAGAAAGGAGTAACCAGAACACACTCGCCTCACCAATTGCTTCTTAAATTTGTCCCTCCTTTTACCCACACTCCACTGGGGCCAGCAGTAGCAGGCTTCCCCTTCTTTTTCCCATGGTTCAGGGACTTCCTCTACTGACATTATTTAGTGAGTTCTTTCTACCCGTGACTTTTCATAAATCTGAAGTCACACAATCATAGCTCCTAATACATAAAGGAGAGCATAAGGAATTTGGAAAATCTTCAAGATTCTAAAGACTATTGTCTCTCGATGAACTTAAAGAAAGAAATCCCATATTGATAGCCAAAATCTGGATGTTGATATTTTCTCTCTTTTTCTTTTCATTTTTAACAAATTCTGAGCATCTGGAAGTAAATAGTTGGCCTTGATTGTATAAAGGGAAGGTTATGAGAATTGAAATGTATTGTTAAAATTATTGACATGATTTAGTAAATATTATCCTTTCACAAGAATAATTTATGTTAATAATTATCATCACATATGGTGGTCAACTTGAAACACACTTAGGTATTTTAAATACTTAGGGTCTGTGCACATAAATACACATACACTTGGTATTTCCACCGTGAGATTTGGGGACAGTTGTCCACCATTATTTATAAGAGTGGGTGGGCCCATGTAAGCATGGAAACAACCCTATTTCTCAGTCCAAAAGAGAAATTTCTAGTCAGCAAAAAAAAATTTACTCTTCTAGACCGGTAGTCAGCAAACTTTCTGTTAAAAAAAAGTCAGATAGTAAACATTTTAGACCTTGCTGGCCATATGGTCTCTGTCACAACTACTCAGCTCTGAGTTTGTAGTATGAAAACAGACATAAATGATGGATATGGCTGTGTTCCAATAAAACTTTACTTATAGACACTGAAATCTGAATTTCATGTAATGTTCACTTGTCACAAAATGTTATTCTTATTTCTTTTTTTGTAAAATCAATTAAAAACATTAAAAACCACTCGACTTGTGGGCAATACAAAACAGACAGCAGGGCTAGGTTTGGTCCACAAACCATAGTTTGCAAACCCCTGCCCATATCGCTTTTTTTTTTAATTTAGGTATGTTCATTTCTGTCTCCTTCTCACTCATTTATGATGCAAATTAATATAGCCACAGCAGCAACTGAGGCCAGTGCAGCACACTGACTCTGCCAGTGCCCCAGTTTGCTAGCACTTAGTACAGAAATGGCATCACATACCTGGGCTAAACAATGAGTGTGTAACCTGGGCATGTTGAGTGACATCCTTCCAGATTTGCAAAATACATTCACCTGTCCCAAATAAACTGATGAAGACAAGGATCGTGGTTTCTTTCTGTCCCTCTGCAGTCCCCAGACTTCCTTTCCTGGCTGAACACTGTTTGACAGAGACCAAATTGTGGAAGATTCTGGATAAGTAGCAAAGAGGAGGTTGTCTACAATGGACATGCTAAAGCCTCCGTCTTCACCAATCTGGATGGTACTCCTACCAAAGCAATATCCTGTGACAGCTCATTGCAATCAGTATGTTTTGGGCTTTGGTCATTGGAATGAGTATGTCTTGTGCTTTTGGCAAATCCATAAAAAGAAGAGTGAACCCATGAGAGATGAAGAGGAAATAATTCAAATCCTGAGAGTAAGATCTGATGCCTTAGCAGACAAGCCTCACAGGGATACATCTTGAGTCATTCAGGAAAGTTTACATCCTAATCCATCTACGATCTGTATAAGAAAAAAGGAAGTGTACTATACAATTAGAAAACGTTCCCATTTACATCGTTAAAATATTCATGGTATTGCTAGTTTACATCAGCTATCTGGAACCTTCAGCCGTCCACAATTCATTCCCACTAGGTCTGGGGTAGCCCTGTGTTACTGTAAAATTGCCTTCTGGGGGATTTGTCACCGTCACTCAAAGTGACTAATTTCTATATAACACTATTTTTATTACCCAGAGAAAATTCTAACTAAACAAACCAATGTGTGCAATATAATTTCTCACCAGAATTGCTCTGGCCTTCAGACTCCTGGCCATCATTCATTTTCACATTACATAATTTAAGTTAATTGAATGAAAATATTCTAACATTTGGATGGTATAGCTAGACCTCAAAGGTTTCGTTATAAGAAGGAAAAATAAGTTATTCATACAAAGAAACACTCTTTTTAGGGAACTTCTTATGAAATGGTGATAATTAGTGAACATTGGGGTTTTTGATTCATTTTTTAAAATTTCCCTGAATATAAAAGTCACAAATAGCAGTCAATTTTATATTACCCTCTCTGGTGTGCAAGGTCTTTCTGAATCATTCTTAAGTTCCTATTTTGTGTTAGGTACAAGGTTAGGTGTTTGCCATGTGTCACCTTGTTTAATTGGCACATCAACCCTATGAGAAGACTTAGAATTTGAGTAAGTCGCCCAAGGTCATAAAGCCAAACCAACTGACTCTAGACTCTTGTTCCCATGACTCCAGAGTTCAAATCCACCCCCTGAGTTGACTGTTCACTACGAGATTGCTGCCCAGTGAGAACAATCAGAAAGCATTTAGTTAATCCATTGATTGTTTTATTTATGTATTTCAAAAATTCAAGGTGAAAGATTGCTCTTAATCAATAATCTTTTGTATTTACTCAATTGAACCAACATCATTTTAAGTTTAATATATCCATTCGCTTCTACTTGGGGAGCCCAGGACCCCACATGGTTTTCAAGTCACTTGACAAATTTGCAGTAAACTAAGGAATCAGGCATCTCAAACAGCCCCTTCACAGTGAACATCACACACACCTTAGCTAGCTGACAGTATAAATGTGGGAGTGTTGGAGAGAGTGTCATTCCATGATTTTGTTCTTTTAATTAAAAAGCTCAGATTTCCAGGATCACAACTTAATTAAGCTTTCATCCTTGGATAGTTCTTTCTGCAATTAAACATGTTTTTTTTTTTTTTCAGTAATAGCTGGGCTCTATAGTATGTTAAAATTGACTTTGGGAATTTCTTTTTCATTCCCACTTGTGTAATATTCAGCTTGCACAAATGTTGTGAGTCGAAAAACAATGGGCCTTCAGAGCAGAGTTATTACTTAGCAGAAAGAATAAACAAAGTTTCAAATGAGGGATCTGATAACTTGCAGCTAGTGAGAAATCATTTTTGCTCTGGAAGAGGGCGGAGAACACTCTGGAAGGAACAGAAAGACCGTAATACTGAAGCAAGGGGTGCATGAGACACATGGGAGGCTCAAGAGAGATGGAGACCTGTGCCCCATGCTAAGGAATTTGAATTTTATCAAGATTGTGATGGAAAGCCATTGAAGAAAGTTTACCAGGAACACTTACTCCCTAAGTATAGTGACCTTGTAGAGGATGCATTAGAAGGGACAGAGTCAGAGAAACAGTCTAGATGAAGGATTCTGAGTAATCCAAGAGAAATTACTTAGGCCAGACCTGGAAAAATGAGGTAGATATGTCTGCAGGTATTTCTAGAATAACATCCAGCTCTAATTCAGGGGCCTTTCCTGAAAAAGAGAATACATGTCTATGTCCTAGATACCGTGCTAAATATTGGGCACGTTCCTCCACTACAAACCAGCAGATTACACATGGAAACAAAACTGCCCATGTGTTACTAGGCTCTCAGGATGAAAGACAAGTCTTAAGAGGAATAAATGGAAACTTTAGTAGGAACCACACGCAGACTTGATCCTGAAGTCCTGTCATGGTAAGTCCAAGACTCAGGCTAGCTGAAGAGGAAGAGAGCTGAACTTGAAAATCTCACAGTAGGCCAGGAAGACCGGAAGGAGGCGACACTGTCACAGGTTTCGATCCCCTGGTAACTAGAAGAAACAAATACATATCTTCTCAGAAATGATGTCTTCAAGCAAATATGAACTCACAATCAAACATAAGCAAACACATTGAAGAGGAGAATGCCATACGTGAGAGACAGCAGGCAATTAAAATATAAATTTAAACTCTAAAAGTTTTAGAATTTGAAAGTATTAGATATGGCATATTAAAAAATGATTTATGTTTGTTTAAAGAAAGAAAAATGAAATTAAAATGAGCATGCAAGAAGAGAAAAGCCTATTAAAACTGTTAAGCAAATTTACCAAATACCCAAATATAAATTTTTTAAGCAAAAATTATAATTATTGAAATATATGTCTGGCTGGGCACAGTGGCTCAAGGCTGTAATCACAGCCCTTTGGGAGGCTAAGGCAAGAGGATTGCCTGAGCCCAGGGGTTCAGTGTGGGCAACTTGGTGAGACCTCGTCTCTAATATATATATCTTTATTTATATTTAGCTGACTGTGGTGGTGAATGTCTGTAGTCCCAGCTACTTGGAAGGCTGAGGCAGAAGGATCACCTGAGCCCAGCCTGTGCGACAGAGTGAGACTCTGACTCAAAAAAAGAAAAAGAAAGAAAGAAATACAAGCCTGCAATCCCAGCACTTTGGCAGGTCAAGGAGAGAGGATTGCTTGAGCCCAGGAGTTCAATACCAGCCTGGGCAATATAAAGAAACCTCATCTCTACAAAAAAAAAAAATAGCTGAGTGGTGGCGCGTGACTATAGTCCCAGTATTTGGAATACTGAAGCAGAAGGATCACCTGATCCCAGGAGGTCCAGCCTGGGCAATAGAATGAGACCCAACTCCAAAAAAGAAAAAAAAGAGAGAGAGAGAAATAAGAACAAAATATTGCTAAAAACAAGTTCATGTATGTCACTAATCATAATAAATGCAAG